CGGGAAAAATGTTGGACTCGATGGCTCTTGTGGTCTCTTCCAACTCTATGATTCTATAATCTCATGAAATGAATAAATTAATATTAAGTAAGTAGGTATTTATCCTTCCAGGCTCAAAGCATATGTGTTTTCATGACCACAAGGACTTGCAAAATCCATTTTTGGTGCCTTCTTATTCTAGGGCTGCTATACGGTGGGGAATCGCTAAGCAAAATGTCTTCTGGGCAAATTCTTGCTGAATGTTCGGGAAAATCTAGACGTATGGCAAGTTTAATAATAATAATAAAGCCCCCAGAGCTTTTCCAGATGTTCAAACAAAACAAACAAGAAACACCTCAACAACTTTGAAACTCCCCACAAAAAAAGCAGCTCGACAGCTCTGTCCAGATTTTCACTTTGGGGAATACGGCAACCCTAATGAATCCCCAAACCATGAGTTGATAATTTAGAAGTAACTGATCAGTATTTCCCAGGACGTGGGGTTTCCGATATTTTTTGAACTCTCTGCTTTCAGGAGACACTTTCCATACCGAATCGATTTTTAAGTACAACATAATTTCCCCCAGAAACGAACAGCTGAGGAAATGCTTCCTTGGCAAGGCACCCTCTGTAATCAAAGGTGCCGAGCTGCCTGCCAGAGACTGAGCTGTTATGTATCATTACTATTGCTTTTAAAGGTGTAGATCATGCCTGAGAAGCGCTAATGAGTGCACCGACTAATTAGCAAGGGAAACCAGCCAGATGAGTAGGAGCATCAAACTCCATTGGCAGAGCCCATGTCTTGCAAACAGAAGATCAACCCCCAGCAGCGTCTCCAGGTAGGACTGGGAGGACTGGAGACAAGGCTGACGTTGGGCTCCCATCCCCAAACACGCCACGACTCTTGCTTGAAAGGAAGAAAGGCGGATAAAATCATGATATGGAACTGACGACAAGAGGCAGGACTATGAGGATGTGGAAAATGCTTTGGAATTCAGACCGTGGGAAGTCAAAAAAAAACAAGATTACAATTTGGAAGACAATTGGACTTTTTTATTTTAGTTTTTTATCTTTATTGGATTGGATTTGATATGTTAATTGGATGTTCTTATTGGAAAATTAATAAACGCTTTTTTAAAAAAGAGGAAGGAAGGAAGAAAAGCATCTTTATTCAGGCTATTAGCGCAAGCTTAGAAGTCAATACATGAGCAAGGGAGCAGGTTCATAACTGAACAGAAGCGATGGAAATGTCCCGACAGTTGACACGCACACCGGCAGGCTTTTAAGGATGATACTCGCAAAACAATTTTTCTGCTGTCTGTGCATCTGGGCAAGCTTTGTCTGATTCCAGCTGCAAAGGGGGCACCTGTTTCTCCGTGACAAGCCTGCGTCCTGCCTGCCACCCCTTTCTGATCCCTCATTCTGGTCAAACGCCTTCTCCCCAATTAACAGACCCTCCTACAGTCCTGCAGACTGAGCTGCCTTCCCAGGGGCTTTCCTTTAGGGTGGGGAACGTGGGCTATTCTACGATCAACATTCTGAGTTCCATTACAGTGAGTGACATTATGACTTCATCAGTCGATTTTCTGACTAACATTATGGCTTCTTTAGCTGATATTGCAAAACGAAAAGGAGGGAAAATTGGTCCCATGTCTGGCATCCTCAGCACCATAGGGGTGGATCCCATGCTGACAGTGGACATCTTGGAGGAGTCTTGGAGAACCTGAAATGAGAACATTTTCAAGGATACTTTCAGGTCACCCAGCAGCTGCAGGTGGAGGAGCAGGGAAGCGAACCTGGTTCCCCATATTACGTGACTACCGCTCTTAACCACTACACCACACTGGCTCTGGAAGATGATGGTTGTAGTTTGGCCATGTCTGGAGGGCCAGAGGTTCCCCACCTCTCTTCACGAGAAAGAAGGATTCCCTTTCCAGGGTTTCAGGGGAGCACCTGGCTCTGCCAGACCTGCCTCATGCAAGAAAGGGTCAGTGGGGCTGGAACAAGGCAGCCCTGCATAGAGTGAGCCTCAAAAACCCAGTTCAGCTGCTACATGGGCAGCAGGTGTGACCATGGCCAGAGCAGCTTTCTCCGGAAAGACAGGGAACAGGGACCCTAGGCAAGGTTTTGCAAAACCACGCAGGACCACGGCTGCTATCTTCTTTTCCTAGCTGGCTCCAACCATGAAAGTACCCAGTTTCGCATTTCTAAAAGCCCCAATACAACTCTAGGTTAAAATTTTCTGTTGAGCCCAAAACAATCCCAGTAACACAACTCCTAGGATGTGGAGATTTGCGTTTCTCTTCCCAAAACTGCTTCTTGTCTTGACAGCTAATTGAGTCAAACCAAATTTCAAAAAGATCTCTGTTCCATAATCAAACAGTTCCTTCCTTCTCTCCTCTAAGAAGAAATTCAGTTAAAGACAACTTACCAAGTGATGGAGAAGCCGAGTGGCGGAAGAGAGGAGATGTTTCAAGGCACTGGTGGAAAAGCCTTTTATATGGTTTCTCTCTGGACTTTTCGGACAACAATTTGGCATGGCGTCACTAATTTGGCTAAGTATACCCCACCCCAGTCAAGTCTAGACTTTACCAGAATGCCCCTGGCCACCCTCCCAGACCCTGTAACCCAATTGTAAGATGTTATCTTTCATGTCAGGCGACGTCTTGGCTCAGGAAACTGCTTTGCTTTGTTTTGGCTCAGCTTCATCTTGGAAGTTCTTCGTGTTCCTCTTTATGGGATTTGGGTTTTTTTCTTAAGCCTTCATGCTTCTGAAGCATCACATGTGGAGCATCATGGCTACAGACAAACTTCATTGTTGAAACACATTTAAAACACTTTTCCCTCTTCATAGAATTCAGTTTAGGGAAGGCTTTAATATTTGATGAATTATTGTATTTTAATCTTTTGTTGGAAGCCGCTCAGAGTGGCTGGGTAACCCAGCCTGATGGGTGGGGTATGAATAAATTATTATTATTATTATTATTATTATTATTAGGCACTGTAGATCTTTAAGGGCGCTGGGAATTGTAGCACTGTGAGGGGGGGACAGGCATTGGACAGGATCCACACACCCCGGATCCCTTAAAGAGGATATCCTTAATGAGGAGGGGCAGGCAGAGGCTACAACCTCCCCTCCATCCAAACAAAGGCTTACCTGCATTTCCCAGCAGCGGGTACCCAGAGGCAGAATGCGAAGGAGGGAGAAGGAAGGCTCCATGGCCAGGAGCCACTGATAGCCTTTTTATCCTCCACGAAACTGCCTCATCGCCTTTCAAAGCCATCCAAGTTGGCGGCCATCGCTGTCTCCTGTGGGAGGGAGTTCCGCAGTTTAATTATGTATTATGAAAATTGTTTTCTCTTTTCTCTGGAGGCGTCTGCCTTTTGGGGGATTCCAGTAACACAGGATGGTGGCTGTCTTGATTAAGAACTGGGGCGGCATTCCAGTGGGATGAGAAAATGCCTTTTCACCCCATTCCGATTTCCAGAATGGTAAACAGCAACTCCTGCGTATGAGGAGCAGAATAATTGCCACACACAGGAAGAGCGAGGATATAGTTTGAGTGCCCCACCTGTGGTTTTATAAACCATTTAATGTGTGGAATATTACAGTTGTTATATAAGGGATTGTTATTTTCACCAGAGTGTAATTGAAAAGATTTTGGAACGCAGAAATAAAGTAAATCATCAAACCATCAATTCTAGCACACGGGGGGCATTTAAATGATATAATTTGGTACCTGAAGGGTTGGTATTAGTAATTGTATTCTAAATTGGCATTTTTATAATGAGGTTATTCTTGGATTATTGCAGAGCTTTTTTCTAAAAAAAATGTTTAGGGGTACTCTCATTTTCCTACTCATGTTGAAATACTGCTCCTCAATGAGGCCAAACTTAGATTCACAAAATGTTTAGGGGTATGCGTACCTCTGCATCCCTGCGGGGGGGGGGGGGAAGCACTGGGTTATTGTAATTGAAAACTAATAAAAATTATTATCAAATAAAGAAGAAATGGTGCTGTGGGGCCACCACAAGTTTCCCTCATCGTCTTCTGGTTCACTCTGCCCAATGGTAGGGCCGGCTCTGGGAGTTGTCTCTTCAGGGAATGAAGAGCAGAGCACTGCCCTTCCTTTCCAGCCTGTTCTCATCTCAGCGCAGTCCTTTGCCACACACTTAAAAAGCAGAGACACCACCTTGCCCACAAAGGTCCGTATAGTTCAAGCTCTGGTTTTCCCAGTAGTGATGGATGGAAGTGAGAGCTGGACCATAAAGAAGGCTGATCGCCGAAGAATGGATGCTTTTGAATTGTGGTGCTGGAGGAGACTCTTGAGAGTCCCATGGACTGCAAGAAGATCAAACCTCTCCATTCTGAAAGAAATCAGCCCTGAGTGCTCACTGGAAGGACAGATCCTGAAGCTGAGGCTCCAATACTTTGGCCACCTCCTGAGAAGAGAAGACTTTCTGGAAAAGACCCTGATGTTGGTAAAGATGGAGGGCACAAGGAGAAGCGGACGACAGAGGACGAGATGGTGGGACGGTGTTCTCGAAGCTACCAGTATGAGTTTGACCAAACTGCAGGAGGCACTGGAAGACAGGAGTGCCTGGCGTGCTCTGGTCCATGGAGTCACGAAGAGGCGGACACGGCTAAACAACTCAAGAACAAACCTTGTGCGAGACGGAGAAGCAGGCGGCCATTTTCCTCAGGAGAGCAACGGCTTGAAGCCACTACTCCTCTCCATGTAACATTGCTGTGGGGCTTCAGAGCGGTTCTCTGTTTTCCACTAAAGGAGAGACAAGAGCCTTTGAGGAAACAGCTCTCTAGTCCCTGTGGCAAATGGCTGAGGCCCAGTGTTGTGTATTGAGTCAAAGGATTTTATATCTGTATTATTATTGTCTGTATTTGCATTAGGGTAAAGTAACTGCCTTTTGGTTCCAGAGGGTACAGCTACTATTGGTCCATTTAAGCTGCTGTATTTGGATCCTCTGTCTTATTGGTTCCCTCCAAAAGGCAGAACTGTGATTGCCTGATATTGTTCCCTCCAAAATGTATCCTTTCTTGCTAGTTCCCTGTCCCTATAAATGTAGCTTTCCTCTCCCCAGTCTTTAGTCTTGTTGCTTTAATAAAGAAGTGTTACTAGAGAACTGTCTCCAGCATGTTATATCAAGAGAGCTGAAATCACAAACCCCACGTCACAACAACTGGCGACGAAGGTGGGATCCAGAATGCTGAGGAGCGGTTAAACGCAGCCCTGCCTCAGAGTCCGGATTGCAGCTAAGAACAAGACTCACTGGCCAGCTGAGAAGACGACCCTGCCACAGGACAATGGAGAGTCCAAGGGTTTTGGAGCCCTTCCAGCCATCAGAGCCCCACATGTGGGAAGACTACGTCGAACGCTTCGAGTTCTTCGCAGAGGCTCAAGGGATCACCGATGCCAGCAAAAGAAGGGCCACATTCCCGAGCTACTGTGGGCCTGAGACCTTCAAGCTGGCCAAGGCATTGCTTGCTCCAGCGAAGCTAAGTGAGACATCTCTCAAAGATATTCTTGCCTGCCTAACAAGCCACTTGGCGCCTACTGAGACCAAGATGGCTCGGCGGATGGAGTTTCATAAGAGGCAGCAGCATGCTGGGGAGCCTGTATCTGCATTTCTGGCTGAACTGCGGAAGCTCGCTCAGCACTGCGACTTCCAAAATCTGGAAGAGACTCTCCTGGATCGGTTTATCGGTGGTCTGAGCAGCAAGAAAGCCAGAAGACGCATCGTGGCTAAAGAAGAGGTTACCCTTGCTTCAGCCTTGAAGGAGGCCACCGCCACGGAGAATTATGAAAGAGAGGAGCTTGATGCCAGTCGCAAGGCCCCTAAGCCACAGATAGAAGTTGCGCATGCCATGGACGAGCTAGAGGCTACTCCGAGCCAGAGCCCAGTCCGTGGGGTCGAGTCAGTGTGTCAGGCCTGCACAGTGCACAAAGATCACCGAGGCAGGTGCCCAGGTTGTGGTGGAAACCATGAGCGGAAGAGTTGTCGTTTCCGGGATGCTATGTGCCGGACGTGCGGGAAGACAGGTCACATCGCCAGGGTCTGTAGATCGGCGGTGTTGGGAGCGACAGGAGCACCTAGACCGGAGCATCGCAGACCGCCCACAGCAACCCATTTTCTAAAGGACTGCCACTACGTAACGGAGATCAACGGGAGGGTCGTGCAGTTCCCAGCGCAAGGCAAGGCACACATCAAGGTGAAGATTGAGGGTCAGCAGTGCGACATGGAGGTGGACTCCGGATCTGGATTCACTATCGTGTCGGACCAGACCGCGAGGACATTCTTCCCCAGGGGTAAGTTGCCCCCTCTGGAGCCCTTCCCGGCAACCTTGCAGTCATACTCAGCGGGCCGCATCCATGTTATGGGAATGTGTGCCGTGAGAGTACAGTTCCGGGACAAACAGGCTGTACTCAAACTGGTGATTGCGAAGGGCAGTCGCCCCAGTCTCCTGGGCACTGACTGGTTCCCCGCCCTGGGACTGAGTATATCAGGGCTTAATTCAATCCAAACCTGCCCTGAGATGAGCGAGGCATTATGCAAAGAATTTGCTGGTCTCTTTAATGGAAAACTGGGTTGTTATAAAGGGCCCCCAGTTGACTTCGAGTTGGACCCTGGGGTGGCCCCAATCCGACTCAAACCAAGGCGAGTGCCATTTGCACTGCAACCCAAGATCGAAGCAGAGCTGGATAAATTGGTCAAGCAGGGAGTTCTCTCACCCGTGGACTCTGCCCCTTAAAGCAAATGGGGAAGTCAGGATCTGTGCAGATTACAAATGCACTATCAATAAGGCACTCAGGGGAAACTCATACCCCATTCCAGTCGTATCACATCTGTTGGCTAAACTGGCTGGGGGCAAGGTGTTCGCCAAAATTGACCTGGCACAAGCTTACCAACAGCTGCCAGTAACCCCACAATTAGCGGAAGCACAGACTATTGTCACACATAAAGGGGCGTTCAGAGTTAACAGATTACAATTTGGAGTTTGTGTGGCCCCAGGGATTTTTCAAGGGCTCATGGAACGCCTGTTAAGAGGTCTGCCGGGGGTCTTGCCATTTTTTGATGACGTTTTGATTGCTGGAAAAGACCCACAGGAACTGGTTGCGCGTGTTCGTGCAGTGTTGCTCAAGTTCAAGGAGGTGGGGTTGCAACTGAAAAAGGAAAAATGCAGTTTTGGGGTGCCAACTGTGGATTTCTTGGGGTTTAAAATTGATGCATCAGGCATCCACCCCACAGATGCTAAGATTAAGGCCATCATCGAGGCGCCACGACCACAGAACAAGACGGAGTTGCAGTCATTCCTGGGACTTATTAACTTTTATCATTCGTTCTTACCCCAGGAAGCTTCGGTAGCTGAACCATTACATAGACTGTTGCAGAAAAAGAATGTGTGGCGATGGGGGCAGGGGCAGCAGAAGGCTTTTGACTCCTTGCGAGGAATGCTGAGTAGCAGGAGCGTCCTTGCTCATTATGACGAGTCAAAGCCTCTGGTCCTGGCATGTGATGCCTCTCAATACGGCCTGGGGGCGGTGCTAAGTCATAGGGAACCAGATGGGTCGGAAAAGCCCATCTCTTTCTATTCCCGTACGTTGTCGCCCACGGAGCGCAACTATGCTCAAATTGACAAAGAGGCGCTTGCAATTGTGGCAGGAATCAAAAAGTTCCATGATTATGTGTACGGTCGCCATTTCTACATTGAAACGGACCACAAGCCACTGTTAGGGTTGTTCAACCCAAACAAACAAACGCCACAAATTCTCTCCCCCAGAATGTTACGTTGGTCTATATTCCTGAACGGGTTCCAGTACACCTTGACCCATGTGCCGGGGAAACGGTTGTGCCACGCTGATGCGCTGAGTCGATTGCCCCTTCCTGGTGGGAGCACTGAGGATCCTGCTCCGGCGGAGCACATAATGATGCTGGAAACACTTCCGGGGGCTCCTGTAACGGCTACTGATATAGCTGAGAAAACGAGGAAAGATGCTGTTCTCTCCCGTGTGCTCACTTGGGTGGGGAGGGGGTGGCCAGGTGGTCCGCATGAAGACAAATTCAGGCCTTATGCGACTAGGCAGCACGAGTTGTCCATGCATAAGGGTTGTCTCCTGTGGGGAGATAGGGTGATCATCCCAGCACCACTGAGAAACAGGGTTCTTGAGACGCTTCACATGGGACACCCGGGAATGGTCAGGATGAAGTCGCTAGCCCGATGTTATGTGTGGTGGCCTGGAATGGACCAGAACATAGAACAATGGGTACGAACATGCAAGGCATGCCAAGAGGTGCGGCCAGAAGTGGCCAGAGCACCAGTCCACTGGTGGGAGCAGTCCAGATCTCCCTGGAGCCGGCTGCACTTAGATTTTGCTGGGCCATTCCAAGGAAAGGTCTTTTTGGTTATCGTTGATGCATATTCCAAGTGGTTAGAAGTGGCGATGGTCCCTAGCATGGCATCAGCTGCCGTAATCAAGGTGTTGAGGCAGCTGTTTGCAACCCACGGGTTACCTGAGACCATTGTATCAGATAATGGGGCAGCTTTTGTATCCCAAGAATTCAGGGCATTCTTGGCTGATAACTTCATAAGAGGGGTCACATCCGCGCCCTTTCACCCATCCTCCAATGGGCAGGCTGAGCGCATGGTAAGAACAGCCAAAGAATCCATTGCGCGCTTAATGGAGGGTAACTGGTCAGCTCGCATCGCGCGAATGTTATTTTTGCAGCATGCGACGCCGTGTACCGCGACGGGCAAGTCGCCAGCTGAGCTGCTCTTGGGTAGGAGACTGGTAACGGTGCTGGATTATGTCCACCCGGATAAAATGCCAAACCGTAATTCAAGAGCAACCCCCCAGGCTGAGACTGACACAACAAGGTATCTCGCCCCTGAAGATCTGGTCTGGGTAAGGAACTATTCACGAGGTTCGCGGTGGGTGGCTGGTGTGGTCACCCGGGCTAGTGGACCTGTGTCCTATTATGTGACCTTGGAAAATGGGCAAGTGTGGAAGAGACATATAGATCAGCTGAGGCGCCGGTCGCTCAGCAGGGAGGAGCCAGATAATTCATCCCTGGCTAACGACGCAGAGCTGCAAGACCAGAGTGAAAATGGCCCAGAGGTGCAGTCACCAGGGGCTTTAACAAATGAACCAGGGTCTGCTAGTCCTCACGATGACGAGGTACAGATAGGGGACCCTGAGATGTCTGGGACTCCATCTGTTCCTGACGAAACCCCTAGAGCAGCCCCTCTACCACAGGTAACACCCAATCCAGAACCTGCAACACCTGTTGTCAGGAGATCAAGTAGAAGTTGTAGGCCCCCACAGTACCTGAGAGATTACGTCTGCTGTGCTCACTAGGGGGGAGGGGTGTTGTGTATTGAGTCAAAGGATTTTATATCTGTATTATTATTGTCTGTATTTGCATTAGGGTAAAGTAACTGCCTTTTGGTTCCAGAGGGTACAGCTACTATTGGTCCATTTAAGCTGCTGTATTTGGATCCTCTGTCTTATTGGTTCCCTCCAAAAGGCAGAACTGTGATTGCCTGATATTGTTCCCTCCAAAATGTATCCTTTCTTGCTAGTTCCCTGTCCCTATAAATGTAGCTTTCCTCTCCCCAGTCTTTAGTCTTGTTGCTTTAATAAAGAAGTGTTACTAGAGAACTGTCTCCAGCATGTTATATCAAGAGAGCTGAAATCACAAACCCCACGTCACAACACCCAGAGCCTTTCCTTTACAGTGGATTCCAGCGGCCATCTTGAGCCCACAGCAAAAGGGCCGTTTCCGCTTCCCACAGAGGCAAAAGGCTCTTCCCATGACTTTGGGACTCTCTGTACCTTCTTCCATGCATCTCTTACGCCCATCTCTTGTGGCTCATGGCTATGGAGTTATGCAACCCCTGAGCCAGGAAGATAAGGAGCTGTACAACATTTATGAGACATCTGCAGGCAGCTCTGTATAGGGAGGTTTGTTAATGTTGAATGCTTACCGTATATATGTTGGAAGCCACCAAGAGCTGCTGGGGCAACCCAGTCAGATGGGAGAGGCATAATAATAATAATAATAATAATAATAATAATAATAATGGCACAGGACATCTCTATTTTCATTGGAGAAATGTTGGAGGGTATGTATGGGCCTTTAGAGGAGTTCTCTGACTTCCCCAGAAGGAGAGACACCATCCTCTTAGGGAACATCTCTCCGTTCCCCGTGCCAAACGACTGAGGCCCAGAGCCTTTCCTTCATACACTAATGGATTCCAGCCGCCATCTTGAGCCCCACAGCCAAAGGGCCGCTTCCGCTTCCCACAGGGAGGCAGAGAGTCCTTCCCACCACGATAGGACTCTTTGTGACTTCTTCACTGCACATCTGAGGCCATTTCAGCACTTGTGAGGGGAAGTGGCTCATTTCAGAGACCTAAAATGCCGAGGGGAGCCATCATTTCCCCTCTCTCTTATGGCTCCTCTGAAGGACTGCGGGGGAAATGTAGACTGGAGCAGCCACACTTTTGGGGGCTGACATTCCTGAGGTAGAAAAATGGGGGGAAGAGGGAAAACAGAAGAGGCTCGGGGTTTTTTGCAGGAGGATTTGAAGTGGGAGCCATTTGTTTGATAAATGCCACCACCACTATGGACCCTTGTTTAATTTTTGCTGCTGTTGTTCTCCATGCCTCAGAAAACAACCACAACCGCAAACTATATGTGTTTTATTTGATCGCTTGGGTTCTAATCTGCTAGAAGAATAGAGGAGTCAGCCTTCTGCCATGTGTCTGCTCTGAGGCACCGAGGAGGTAAAAAGGAGGCTGGGGCAGCCATGTTGCCGCTGGGGGCGACCTTCCTGAGGTAAAAAAAAAAGGGAGGGAAAACAGAAGATTTCAGGTAGCAGCCATTCGCTTGATAACCCTTGTCCCCTCCGGCTTTCTTAACTCTTCTGTTACAATCCAGCAGTAGAGTAATCTCATGAAATGAATAAATTAATATTAAGTAAATAGGTATTTATCCTTCCAGGCTCAAAGCATATGTGTTCTCATGACCACAAGGACTTGCAAAATCCATTTTTGCTGCCTTCTTATTCTAGGGCTGCCATACGGTGGGGAATCGCTAAGCAAAATGTCATCTGGCCAGATTCTTGCTGAATGTTCGGGAAAATCTAGACTTATGGCAAGTTTAATAATAATAATAAAGCCCCCAGAGCTTTTCCAGATGTTCAAACAAAACAAACAAGAAACACCTCAACAACTTTGAAACTCCCCACAAAAAAAGCAGCTCAACAGCTCTGTCCAGATTTTCACTTTGGGGAATACGGCAACCCTAATTAATCCCCAAACCATGAGTTGATAATTTAGAAGTACCTGACCAGCCTCAGAGTGTGAGGCCAGCAGTATTTCCCAGGACGTGGGGTTTCCGATATTTTTTGAACTGTCTGCTTAAGCCACTCCCGAACTAAGGAGGGGGCGGTTGCGGGCTCACGCCCCCATCCACATTCTCGAAGGGCTGGCGCCAGCCCCGCGGGACTCAGGGATCCCCATTAGTATTCATTTCCGGCAGCACCAGCCAATGGCCTGGCGCTGGGGGCGGGCCCACCTGAGGGCACTTAAGGTCAGGGCAGCCCGGGCTCGACCCTTTTCCTTCTCTGCAGCAGCCGCAGTTTATTCTTTTCCGAGGATCGTCGCTCCAAAGGTGCTGCGGACCGAGCTTTCTCCTACTCCCCAGCCGGCTTCCCCCTGCGCTGACCTCTGAGCTTCGTGCATCCGAGCTGCTCATGATTTTCACTATCTGGAGAGGACCAGATCGGCGTTCCTCCCTTCGGTCGCCGCTCACCAGCTGAGCCTGCTTCAGCTTACGGTGGCTTATCTTCAGCGTTTCCCGGCTCCTCTTCTCTACTTTCCCAGCCGTTCGGAGGACACAGCGCACCCATTCATTCAGGTTTTGCTACTGGGGGTTCAGATTTTAACTTTAATTTCTGCGCAGCGGAGCACCGCCGCTTGTGCGGGGCTTGTGTGGCTTCAGAGGAGCGTTGTTTGGCTTTAAGCACAGCCACATTTGCGGGGCTGCAGGGGAACGTTTTTGTGACTTGGGGCTTGAAGTCATTTGTGGGGTTTGTGGGGCTGCAAGGGAGCATTTTTGTGGGGCTGCAAGGGAGCATTTTTGTGGGGCTGCAAGGGAGCATTGATTGCATATTCGGGGTTTATTTCCTGTTGTAGCCTGTTTGCTGTCCGCTGCTCTCCGGTGCTTAGTCTGACCGCTGAGCACGAAGCGGCACCGTTGCTAAGCTACGGGCCCGCCCCTGGCCGCCATTTGCAACCGCCCACGGGGCTTTAAGGCGGCCACCATTTTACGATAGGCAACTAAGCGTGTGAAGTCTCTCTCTCTTTAAGGCTAGGCAGGCAGCCTTTTACAACACAGCGGCAATAGCGGCAGGACAGGAGGGTTATAATTCACTGCTAGCTAGGCTTACAATATCAGTAAATCAGACGTACAAGATGCTCATCTTCCATAGCTTATAAGGCTTTATATATTTGACAATACAGCTCATTTGTTTGATTTAAAGTGATTAAAGGCCTCAAAGAGCTCTGCCTTGACAAGGATATTCTGTGGTAGGAATTTTAATTGAAGTACTTTAAAGGTTGATAGGAGGCTTATTTCTAATTGCGTTAAGGCTTTATATTTTCCTGCATTATATATTTAATTTGCTGTTTTACCTAATGTGCAGAGGTGCCCCAAGGAGCTTTGCCTTGCCAAAGCAAGTCATTGATTGGAAGTTTAAATTAGGTTTAAATTAAATTAATTTAAATAAGCCTTTATATATATAATAAAGTATATCTGTTAGTTTATAATCAATCCGGCAATTAATTCATTCGGTTGATAAAATATAAAGGCTTAGCATTTGTTACGTTACAGGACTATATTTAATCTGGCAAGCTTCAGGGATAGTCATTGCTTGTTTCCCAAGAGGCTTGCTTTTTGACTGCATTTCCTGGCCCTAGGGCACAGCTTACTCTTCTTCAGTGTTGGCTACCGCGTTTTAAATTATTCATAGAGGGAAGGTCATCCCAAAGTTTTAAGAGGCTTGCTGTCATCTCCGCTACCTTATTTTGAGCCGCTGGTTGGCAACACTACCAATATAATTGCTTAATTATTAGGTGAATAATTAAATATTATATAATAAATAATAATAATAATTAAAATAAATAAATAAATAAATTTTCTTAAAAAAGAAATAGCATAAAATTATATATATATATATATATATATATATATATATATATATATGCTTTCGTAGATTTTCACGGGTACAGGAATGCAGGTTTTGGTGTCCTCGGGTGTCTTCCCGTGTAAAAGTTGGGGTGTCTAGGCGACGTTTCGACGAGGTCTCACTCGTCATCTTCAGGCTGGTGCTTTCGGCTTCTTGTTACTGGAACAGAGCAGGATCTCAGTGTTTGAGTTCCTATAAATACTGTTGAGGGGGTGTGGTGTATAGCCTCCAATGTTCTGGGCAGAGAGGAAGTTCCCAGGTTAGTGTGCCTTTTCTTCTTTTGTTCCTTAATTACTTGAGGGATATCTTGAGTGATTTCTTGAGTGATATCCTGAGTACCACTTAGGTGGGTCATTAGGTGTGGATTAGTTGCTAAAGCCTTCGTGTCTTGACCTCTTGAACTTTGTGAAGAGTTTTTCTGAGAAGATGGCTGTACTGCAATTAGTTGTGCTCTGGCTTGGCTTCGTGTATAGGGGCGAGCTGTGGTTTTGTGTCCTGTGCCAGCCAGATCTGTGTAGGGATTGCAGGGGGGTGCAGCATCCGGAGGTGCCACCATGGTTTGGCTACTGGATGGTGTCTGTAATTTATCTGTGGAGAGGGTCTGGGTTTGGGTCTGGTGTGGTTGATTGGTGATGGCGTTCTGTGTGCCTCTGGATCTGGTGTCGGTTTTTGTGGGGAGGGCTAATTTCCAGATGTCTGGCAGGCGGGATGTGTCGTCACGCTTGTTCATGCCATCTTCTCAGAAAAAACTCTTCACAAAGTTCAAGAGGTCAAGACACGAAGGCTTTAGCAACTAATCCACACCTAATGACCCACCTAAGTGGTACTCAGGATATCACTCAAGAAATCACTCAAGATATCCCTCAAGTAATTAAGGAACAAAAGAAGAAAAGGCACACTAACCTGGGAACTTCCTCTCTGCCCAGAACATTGGAGGCTATACACCACACCCCCTCAACAGTATTTATAGGAACTCAAACACTGAGATCCTGCTCTGTTCCAGTAACAAGAAGCCGAAAGCACCAGCCTGAAGATGACGAGTGAGACCTCGTCGAAACGTCGCCTAGACACCCCAACTTTTACACGGGAAGACACCCGAGGACAC